GTACCAGGATGATCCTCTGTAAATCGTTCTTTAGAAGAATAATGACTTTGTTCTATGATGCTAGACCCTTTTCACTAAATCCCAGAAGTGAACTGAACTCCTGCCCAGCCATCAGAAGGCAGCAGGGGCTTTGGTTGGGCTAATGAAGCATAGCACAAAACCTGGCCTGGCTGCCATGCTGCTCTCACAGCATGGGGAGGGAAGCATGAATGACAAGGGGGCTTTGCAGAGAGCAGGATCTGGCTGGCTACAGGTCTGCCTATGTGCAGCATGTCCCTGCAACAGCCCCGTGGTGCATCCCACCCCTCCCACTGATGCCATTTTGTTGCACACAGCTGGGCCGGCCCTGTGCTATGAGCACGAGACGCGCCTGGTCGACGACCTGTTCCGGGACTACAACAAGGTGGTGCGCCCTGTGGAGAATCACCGCGATGTCGTCGTCGTCACTGTCGGGCTGCAGCTCATTCAGCTCATCAATGTGGTAGGCAGTGGGCAGGCAGAGCCGCTGCTTTGAGTGCTGTCGCCAAATGGCATAGTTCTCCCCCTTTAATCCCAATGCTTGCTTCTTGTGTTTCCTTTCTCTTTGTTTTTTTCCTTTCAAGGATGAAGTAAATCAGATTGTAACAACCAACGTACGCCTGAAGCAGGTAACCCTAAATATTGCTACCCATTCTTCCCACTCACGTTAATAGGGACAGCCAGGTGTGAGCTACTTTTGGGGCACCCTGGACCAATTGGATTGAGTGTCTTAAACTGATATTTAATTTAGTGTGAGAACAAAAATGAGCTGGAGGGCCAAATAGGATGTGTTGATACTTTCCTGCACAAAGCAAGGACGCAAGTGTCCCTAGGAAGTGTCAAGTAGCACTGGAAGAAGTTCTCAGCAGCTGCAATCCTCCCTTTGCAGCAATGGACAGACATCAACCTGAAGTGGAACCCAGATGACTATGGTGGCGTGAAACAAATCCGCATCCCATCAGATGACATCTGGCGCCCGGATCTTGTCCTTTACAACAAGTAAGCAGCAGGGAGCAGAGCCGGTGGGACCAGAGCCTGGGCAGTGGCTGCTTTGCCTGCTCAGCCTGGCTGCCCTCAAGCCACCGGGCAGCTGCAACCATCCTTCTTCCTTCCGCAGTGCGGATGGTGATTTTGCCATTGTTAAATACACCAAGGTCCTTCTGGAACACACGGGAAAGATCACCTGGACACCTCCTGCTATCTTTAAAAGTTACTGTGAAATTATAGTCACATACTTCCCATTTGATCAGCAGAACTGTAGCATGAAGCTGGGAACGTGGACGTATGACGGTACAATGGTGGTTATCAACCCGGTAAGCAATAATTTGGTAATTGGAAAAAGCAGCAGAGACTTGGGTATGTTTTTAGGCACTTCTCTGATTTAAAAGGGAATATAATCTTGGTTTGACTGAAGAACAAGATACTACCAGTATAATGTAAAAGCTCCATTTGTAAGTGTCGTACAAAATTGCCCAGTTTGACTTGTAAAATTCCACTTACACTTACTTCCCATGCTCCTTCCCCAAACATTTTGCCTGCCTGTCCTTTTTACAACCTTATGCCACTGTTTCTGGTGGTGCCCATTCTGCTTTTGTTTTCTTTGTTGTGTGGGGGTGATTTTTCTCTGCTCATGACTTTTCTTACTTTCTGCCTCTTAGGTATGTCTTCCATCTATAAATATTTAAGTGGTCTTTCCTGTTAGCAGAGTATCCCTAACTCCTTCTGTAAAATATTTAGTTGAACCTGGCTCAAAGGATGATGTAAGGAAAAATTACATAAGAATGGATGTTCAAGTAAAAAAAAACGCACAAAGCACGTCAGTGATTGGAAATTCTGTTCCTGAGAGACCACACCATGTGAGTTTGTTCAGAATGTCTAGTATGAATAATGCATTGGTCTGTGGTGTTGTGTTTATTTGCTGTCAGGAGAGCGATCGCCCCGATCTGAGTAACTTCATGGAGAGTGGTGAGTGGGTGATGAAGGACTACCGTGGCTGGAAGCACTGGGTTTACTACGCCTGCTGCCCCGACACTCCCTACCTGGACATCACGTACCACTTCCTCATGCAGCGCCTGCCGCTCTACTTCATCGTCAACGTCATCATCCCCTGCCTGCTCTTCTCCTTTTTGACAGGGTTTGTTTTTTATCTACCCACAGATTCAGGTATGTGAGGTTAGTCATTCTCTGCCGTAGAAATTGCTCTTCTAACAAGTTCTGGAGAAATTTGGAGTGCTTGCAGTCAGCAGCCAACTTGAAGGCCTGCATGTGCTAAACTGGTGCTTCAGCTCAAAACAACAGCTCTAAACATTCTGCAAATTTAATTTGAAACTATTCACTGAAACTATTCACGTAGACAAATTGGGTGGATTTCCCATGGAAAACACCGGTTAACTATCCAGTTGACTAATGCAGAGCAAAGATTTGGCTAGCTGATGTTCTGATTTTGTCCCTCAGCCCAAAATGTTTGGATGTCAAACAGTACCTGAGCACACTGTGTTGGAGCAGAGACCTTGTGGTTAGTGCACACTTGCGAGCTCACTGACACAGAGTAATTCTGGCCTCTTCTGGCCTGCTTCATCTCTGCTGAGCAGCTCTGTTGCAGAAAGCTTGTGCTCCCTGCAACCATTCCCTATGCTTTATTCATTTTACATTGGCATCAGCTTTTCACCCTGCTTAATTGCATTGAACCTCTTCTGTGGAAGACCTCCAATTCACAGATTTTTGGTGGAGAACTTTACATGAAGTTGAAGCAGATAGGAAAAAAACTCTCTGCCTTCTGGTTCAGTTCTGATGCCCTACCTACTGAAAGCTGATCCCTGGCGCCAGATGCACATTTTGTCAGCTCACATTGTGCTGAGGCAGCCAGCCCCAAGAGGCTATGGAGTCATTAACCAGGTGCATGCACCTCATCAATCAAATCCCACAGTCCACGGGGTGCTCCTGGCAAAGAAGCTTTTTGCACACACCACGTGTATGTCAGTCCAGTTGTACCTGGTGATTTCTACCCCAGTGCAGGTGTTGGTGGTGTGTGAGGGGCTCAGGTCTGGCCAGATTCAGTACTGTTTTGGGAGCTAGTAAAATAGGAGCATTCTGGATTCATGAAAAGCACATGTGTGTGAATAGCCATCGTCCACAAGCAAGCTTCTCAAACTAACTAAGCATTGAATAATATCTACATACCCAGTGATGTTGTCTTCTTTTTGCATTGCAGGTGAGAAAATGACCCTCAGCATCTCTGTCTTGCTGTCACTGACTGTGTTCCTGCTGGTCATCGTGGAGCTGATTCCTTCTACTTCCAGTGCAGTGCCTCTGATAGGCAAATACATGTTGTTTACCATGGTGTTTGTCATCGCTTCCATCATTATCACTGTCATCGTCATCAACACCCACCACCGCTCTCCCAGCACTCACACCATGCCACACTGGGTCAGGAAGGTGAGCTCCAAGGCTTTGTGTTTCTTCTTTTCCACAGAGTAGTGTGTGTTTTGTTGGCGGATTTTCTCCTCAAGGTCAGCAAGAATTAAGGAATCATAGAATTCTGTCATAGAATTTCTTAGGTTGGATGGGACTTTAAGGATCACTGAGCTCCAATCCCTTGACATGGGTAGGGTTGCCTCTCACCAAATCAGGCTGCCCAGGGCCTCATCCAACACAGGGAACACAGGGATCGGGACATCCACAGTCTGGCTGCTCTTTTATGTGACGAAACTGCCCACTGGATAGAGCCTTGCAGGGAATGGATGAGGCAGTACAGGGGCAGCTGATGGTATAGGGAGAGGAAAGTATGTCAGTTGGGCTCAAGTGGTCTTACTGGTCTAATGATCTCTGTGACTCTAGGACACTTCTGCCTGCCAGGGGACAGGCCCTTCAGGTCATGCAAATTGCATTGTAATAGCGAAGTCAAGCAAAAGCAGCTAAGAGACACCCCTCAAAGTGCATTGCCTAAACCAGGCCCCTAGGGTGTGTGTCCCAAGTTGGATGGGCTCAGTCAGCTGGCAGCAGTGTGAACCTGACCAGTGGTGGTACAGCCCAGATTTGTATGTATAGAATACACAGATAGGCAAAGCTGCTTTTGGAGAGCACAAGGCAGGCCATGGGGTGACCCTGCCTGCCCCAGGACATGAGGCAGACAAAAGCACGGTGTAAATGTGGCACATGGCATGACATACTCCAAAGTGGAATTTCTAGTGAGTCCAGGAGAGGAAGTTATCTGCGACTGGTGTAGCTCCCCTCTGTTTATTGCAGAGCTGCATCTGCACAGCAGCCCCTCCAAACAGGAGTATTCCTCTTCTGCCTCTTTTTTTTTCCAGATCTTTATTGACACAATCCCAAACATCATGTTTTTCTCTACAATGAAACGACCATCCAGGGATAAACTAGACAAGAAAATTTTTGCAGAAGATATTGATATTTCTGAAATTTCCGGGAAGCAAGGTCCTGTGCCTGTCAATTTCTACTCCCCACTTACCAAAAATCCAGATGTGAAAAACGCTATAGAGGGAATCAAATACATTGCGGAAACGATGAAGTCAGACCAAGAATCCAGTAATGTAAGGCATTCTTTGTGCATGATTCATTTCTTGCTCTCATACTGCTACGTCTTTTTTTTTTTTTTTTTTTTTTTTTTTTTTTCAGTTACCCAGGCATCACAAAAACACTCCAAACCTTGTTTTGGCTTTAGCAGGGGACAGTCTCCTGCCTGTGGTGTGGTCATTAAGGAGAAACAGATAATTGTCACAGGTGGTAAATGAATCTCAGTTTGAAAACAAGGAGAAAGAAAAGTGGTTTTCTTAACAGGGTGTGTGAAGCCACAGAGATGGCGCACGAGTAGCAAAGCAGTTTGTAAGCAGAACTGTAAGCAGAACTGTAACCAGAACTGTAAGCAATTCCATAACACATTCCTCCTGTCCCCTGCTTGGGCATCTTCCCACAGGGATAAGTGGCCTTCCTTGCTTTTGAAAAGCCAGAAGGTAGCACAGCTGCAGAATTCAAACGTAGTTTTATTTGAGAAACCTGAAGTGTGACTTGCAGATAATAATTCCAGTTTTGATAAGGATTTGTGTCAATCCATGTATGCCACAAGCAGTCCCTGCAAGTGAGACAACACATCATGAGTTGTTGTGATTACTGACTTTTTCCACATTACAAGTCAAAGGAAGGATAAATGCGTGCAGAGTCACATATGGCAGTTTTCCACAGGAAAGCCTAGCTCTGCCTCCTCTGAGCACGTTCAGTGCAATTAACCCCCTCTTTCATTTCAATTTTTGCAGCTCGCACAGCTTTTAAATGGATAACTCAGGATCAGTTCTTCACCTCTCTTATTGCTGTTTAGCAGTGGATGCCCAGTGGTGACAGGTTGCAGGTGGGGAGGGACCTCTGTGGGACAATAATCCGGCCTCTCCTTCACTCAGGCAGAATTTACACCACAGTGTTTGTTCCTGTGGCCACGTTCCAGCAGCGTGTAAATGGCTCCGGTTGGAGTCTCATGTTCCCGGTGGCTCCTCTGCAGATCAAGTGCTACCTTCAGCAGGGCTGGCATGGTTTCAGTGCCTCTGGGCTCTGCTTCCTTCTGCGCATACAAGGAGGGTCTTCGGTTACTGGCAAGTGCTCCCATCGGAAGTGGAGCCAGCTGTTTGTGTCATCTAGACTTTACTGATATCACTTTCAGAGGATTTCAGAAGTCGCATTCCCAAAATAAACCAAAGGCCGTGGCTTCTGAAGGCTGTCACGGCATTGCCTTTGCTTACAAGTCACCTCAAAGCACTCCCGATTAGCAGTCTACTCTAGATGGATTCCAGCAGCTTCTTCCACTTGTGGTGCACCTAAGGCAGAAGTAGAGGGAGATTAGGGATGGGATGTGTTGGTCCTTAGAGCAGAGTTACAGGGTGGAAATGTGCTCTGGCCCAATCATATTCGTAACAAATGCAGCTCTGCAGAAATCTTACTGTCTCCTTTCTTTCTTCTTCAGGCGGCTGATGAGTGGAAGTTTGTTGCAATGGTGCTCGATCATCTTCTCCTCGTAATATTTATGCTAGTCTGCATTATTGGAACATTAGCTGTATTTGCTGGTCGCCTTATTGAATTAAATCAGCAAGGATGAACATCAAATGGAAACTATTCACTGCCTGGGCTGGGACTGGAAAGCATCTTAACTGCTAAAACCTGGCCAGCCATGGAAGTTCCCCTGGGACCGAGCAGAGATACTAAAATGTGCTTAGCACTTCAGAGCTTCTGCTTGGTGCTGTTTCACTGCCAAAATGACACACTTGCTCTACTGCTAGGCTGAATGGCTGTCAGCCAGATTTGGGTCCATTTTACCATTTATTAGGAATGTTAACATGTTAATAAGACCGTCTGACTTTGTTATCCACAAATATGATTCTAGTGACATCAATAGCAGTAATATGTTCTATCTGAGCTGCAAATCTGTATTCAGCTTTAGAGCAGCTTTCAAGCTGGTTTCAATATCTGCTCTGTGGTTTTTGTACTGGCAGTGCCACAAATGCTTCTTGTAACACAGGCTGTAGCCAGCAGAAGTGTCTCAAGCTCCTTGGTAAAGCATCTGATTTCTGTGTACAAATCAGAAGTGACTGACTCTCATGTGTCAGTCTGCAATCTCTTAACTTGCAGAACACTTGGTCCAGCATAGAGGGAATGTTCCTTGTTGTGAAATGGATCCACTGCTGTTTCTTGCTATGCAGGCCCAGGGTAAAAGACACATTGAAGATTTTTCACCCTTCTTTATCATTGAGCTCTGCTCTGTGGCCACACAACTATCATGCAGACTGAGAGCAAGCATACCTCGGTGTCCCTCTTCACACTGAGTGATGAGCATTGTGAGCACAGTTTCGCCTTTGGGGGTGCTCAGTACGATAACTTAACTGCACCTCTGCTCCCTGAAAAGCACCTCCTGCCCTGCTGGAATGCATTAGGAGCAGCAGGCCGGCACGGCTCAGCACTGCAACGACCGCTTCCGATGCAAGTGCGTATGACGAAAGGATCGGACCTCCCCCCACGTCCGCCGATTCAACCGAGCTTCCTTCAAACGTTGAGCAGCAGCTCACTCTAGTGACAAAAGCGGGTAGTTGCTTTCGCCCAAAAACTTCTGATACTGCAATGGTGGTGGTTGGTTTTTTTGTTTGTTTGTTTGGTTTTTTTTTAGTAAATAAGACTAAAAGTTTTTAGTCAACCCAAGGAATTTGTCTGTTTCACTAGTACAGTGTAGAAGTTCGAGTAGTTCTGCCTATTATTCTTAAAAACAGATAAGCACAAGTGAAGCAAATGATACAAATCACCCATCTTTCCAAGCTCGCTGTTCAAACCAGGACTACTCTGCTGTCAATTGCTGTGTGTTTAATAAAATAACATGTTTTATGTTTGTGCTCTACAAGAATGTGTCGTGTCTGCAGAGGTCAGGCATTTGAAACCCTCTGTGAGGGAAATCAGGCAGTTGAGTAACATTTCTGTTCGTGCATAGGGCAGCTTGGGAATGTTTTGCTGAGCTGCAGTCCTCACCAAAACACTTTGTGCAGGTCGGTCAACCACTTGTAGCACTCTGCTCACTTGTAGCACTCTGCTTGGCTATTTGGGTTTTGACTTTGGTAATCTTTCCCTCCCTGGATGATCATTAACGTAAACAATGGCTGGAGATGCATGCTGAGGTAAACCCCTGCTGACAGATGAAGTGCTTGCTGCAGCTCTGCTTAATTTCAGTGAAGCTTCCAACCCCCGGATGAAGCTATGGAGCTCACCAGCTTGTCAGGAGCTGAGCTGCAGTGTAGCAGTGCCTGTGATGCTGCTTATGTTGGGAGATGGTGATTGGTACTGAAGTGGCAGGACAATCCTTTTAGGGCAACCTATGGTTGAATTTTGGAGTTAAAAACAAACAAGTAACAACATCTGTGGGTAAGTAGCTGCATTACCTCTGTTAGGTTTCCTTGAGGCATCCCTTTGGGTAGTGGTCTCAAAATTCCATCTGCGTGAGTGTGTACTCACCACTCTAGCTCTGGTTCCCTCTATGCACAGCTAGCTGCCATGTTGTAGTCATTTCCTTTCCCTTCCTCAAAGAAACTTCAGAAATTACTTATGTAAAATTTTACATATTACCTATGTGAAAATTTTTATTTGTGATAGTTTGTTCTGTCTTACAGGCACAGTAAACCTCCTGCCTTCCTATCACACAGTCTTGATGAACTGGGCATGTCTCAAAGGTGTGGCACTGAGGGGAAACAGCAAATACTTTCTCTTCCTGGGTAGCAGAATCTGTCCCCTGCCTCTCTGTGCAGCCAGTCCTCCAAACATCAACAGGGCATCCCAGGGGGAAGTTTACATGCACCTCTTTTTTTTTTTTTTTTGCTTTGAATACTCAGATTGTGCAAGCCACCTTTCGTTTGTTCTATCTCACCTTCATGATAACATTTCTCTTAGGTATCACTGATAGCCTCTGTTATTAATATCCATCTACTGAAACACCCTTACCCGCATGCAGTCTGTCTTGTCTGCTACTGTCCTTTTCAAGTGTCAGCATGCCTATGTATCTGTTGGAACAGTACATTTGGAGCTTGTAGATGGGCTGTCTCAGCCGCTGTCAAAGCTAATTTGCCATTTATGCTTAAGTACATGTTGCCTGACAACTTCTCATTTGCAGCACTGTAGCCTCTCCCTGCCCCTGTAGCACTGAGCTGTAGGCTCTTCCATTTGTGTCTCACCAGAGCTCCAGGCAGGGGGCCCTGGGCACCACCTGGGCAACCACATGTGCTGCTCTGCTGCCCCATGGCCCAACAAGCAAATTTAAATTTCAGATCTGAGCTTCAACTAGCAATTCTACTGATACGTGGCTTCACTGATTGTGACATTTCTCTAGTAAGTGCAAGAAGTAATGCCATCCAAGTGCTGTGGCATTGCACTGAGCAGCCCCAGTTTAGCTGAAGGTTGGTGTTACCTTCTCCCTCTTTTAGCTGCCAGTTTCCTGCTGCTAGAAGTGGTTTTGTTCACTTTGATCTTGTGGATAGCACCCTATTTATAGCCTTAATAGAATGGCTCTCTGGAACATCTCCATCTTCTTAACTCCGATTCTCTTTCCAATTTTTTAACAGTTTGGCAATTAACTTTCCCCTTCGCATCCCTTTAGCTGACCTTCAACTACTCTCTACTGTATCATCGACAATTCGCCCTCCGAGCTGCAGTCATCCCAAATTTCTTTCCCCTTTTGTACTTGCACAGCTTGGGAGACTTGACTCTTCTGAGGGGGTTAGTTGAATTTTTAGAAGTCCATTACCTTGTACCGGTTCCAAGGGAGCAATTTCACCTCTGCATGAGTCCGTAATCAGAACGGGCTGCTGCTCTCTATCGGCACCAGGCAGATGAGCCAAATGTGGTGGCCTTGTTCTGTCTGTTCAGCCAGCTGCATCTTGACTTCTTAAAGCATAACTGAGCTGTTAACAGAGCAAACAGAAAAATGACATTTCCCAAACTCTAAATGCTTGATCGTGAGCAGGCATCTGCCAGATCTGATCATTCCCCCCACACTTACACTTCGGGTTCTGCTACCTCTTTGCAGTCTGAGAGTTTTTAAGCAAAGGGATTATTTATTTTTTCAGGCCACCGTAAGAGAATGTAAGTACTTGTTTTCCTGCAGGCCGTGAGCTGCTGCCAGCCCCCTCGCTGCAGCCCTCTCCCCATGAGAGCAGTGTGAGTTTCACCAGCACGCTGACTCAGCAGTTCCTGTTTCCACAGCTGAAGCAAACCACAGGGGCAGGGGACAGCAGGGTGAGAGCATGAGGTAGGCCTGCAGAATGCAGAACATTGTGCTGCTGTTGGGTGAAGGACATATCCTACACCCCTGGAAAGTTTGCTTTCTTGTATGGTGGCGTATGAGATGTTGCCTTTGAAGTCACCAGTAGTTTGGCACATCAGAAATGTTTGTGAGAGCAGCCACTTTTAAAAGTTTGCTGTATGCGGTCTCAGTTACATACCTTGTGTTTTTATATGCTAACTAGGGCTGGATAAAGTCTAGCACTACATCCAGGCTCCTGGGCTGTCAATTCCTCCCCACTTAATTTTGTTCCCTCCCTGAAAAATGGTTGTGTGTTTTGTCCTCATTGTGAAACTGGAGCAAAGTCTCCCAGGCTTCTCTCATGAATGAGGTTTAGATACAGGCTTGCAAGAGAGCTCTGGAGCACCTTCCCCTTTCTGGAAATCAAGTCTCAGCTACAGGCAATCACACCCTGCTTTGCAAAAGATTCTCTAAACAATCACCCTTCAGTTCCTGCTGAAGGATAAAGGGCAGGCATGACTATGGAGAGCAACCAACCGGCATGGATTCATTGCTCAGCTCACTCAGGGCCCTGCTGAGTCCAGCTGGGCTGCAGGGGCTACCTGCAGTGCGTGTGATGGAGCTGAGCAAGGATGGGGGCAGGTTCATATGTTACCACAGTGCATGCCAGGCTGACCAGTGATCAAGACTGTAGAGGAGCTCCTTGGTTATGGCAGCAGTGTGATGACCAATCACTTGGTGGGCTCCACAAAAGGAGGGGACGCTGTCCTTCAAGGGTTGTTACTATGTCCCTCACTCCTGTGCAGATCTTCTCCACAGCTGGCAAACAAGCACATCTGGGTGAGCTCTTCTTTTATATCCAAGCACATCTGGGTGAGCTCTTCTTTTATATCCATTACAAAGCTTGGAATAAACACATCAATGATATTTCTTTACTACCTAGCCAAAAGGAAGCTGCTTGCCTGTATGTGACTTCAGAACTGTTTTCAGCTAACCAATGACCCGAATGCAGGATGCAGCATTTAGGAACCCCATGTGGATTTGTGAGCCCCTTTGGAGAACTTTAGGTCTGTGTTTCCATAAAGGCAATAAGCGTAGACTACCTGCAGCTTTCCCATTTGTGAGCTCCATAATTTTTGCTTGCAAACTAATCTAGGTCACGTACCTAGGGCAAAGGAGGGTAGAGGAAAAAGATAAAACCACGGTACCTGTTTTTTTGTCTTGTAGTGCCCCAAGCATGCAGTGACACAAAAACAAAGACATGACCTACATAAAAGGCTGGCGGTGTTTGAAGTCTTACACCAAATGCAAATCAGCAACGATTTGGTGAGCACATCTCACCTTAACACTGTCTTTGCACCTTGTAATCTCTTGGTCAAAAACAAAAAGCAGATTGTAAGAGGTTGGCTCAGCATGCAGATTGCTCAGGCTTTGACCTTGCTGGAACATATTGCAACAGAGAAATTAAGAACAAACTCCAGTTTTTCAGGACACCTGTCCATAATATCCTGTTTTAGACAGCGGTGTTATGCAGCTGCTGAACTGAACTGTGGTCATGCACGGGCTAAATAAAAACCATGAAATGCCTCCAAGATGTGAAAGGCATGCAGGATGAGTAATGGCTCCAGCAGGCACCCACAGCTACACAGCTACAGTCCTGCTGCCATGCAGAATACACCCCTATCCCTGAGCTGCTCCATCGCCTATGCTTTGCTCATTTTTTTCATTCAAGAATTCAGCACTGCATCCAAAGACATTAACAGAAGTTTTCTTTCTCGTTCAGTCACACTTAGAAGGAATAGGAAGCAGCCTCTATCACTTGCCTGGCAAATCCATTTCTGTGTGAGTTAATTGAGATAAGAAGCACAGATCCCTTTGAGGGCATCATGCGGAGAGAAGTAATTGACCTTCCCACACCTCTGCATACTGCAAGTCTTAATAGGGATGCAGCAAGTACCTCTATTCACTGTTTAATGACGCCCGCACTCCTCTGCCCGTCCCTGCCGTGCCGCGGCCGCTCCCCAGCCTCGCCGATCGCCATCAGGGCGGCAGGGCACCGCGGGAGGTGACGGGGCAGCTGCGACTAGCGCTCGGCCCCCATCCCGGGCAGCCCGCAGCGCCGGCTGCCTCGCAGCCCTTTCCCCGTCCCCGCGCACCCGGCTCCGGCCTGCCCGCCGCCCTCCCGCTCTCCGTCCGGGGCCGGGGCCATGTGCAGCGCACGGGGCTGCGGGGAGCGGCGCCCCAGAGCCGCGGCGCGGCGCTTCCTGCCGCTATAAATAGCGCCCGGCCCAACATGCCCCGGCCGCGCTGCGGCTGGAGTGCCGCCGGCAGCCGCCGCCTCGCCCGACGGAGCGCGGTAAGGGGTGCGGGGAGCGGACCGGGCAGGGGCTCCCCGGCGGCGGCTCCGCTCGGCGCCCCGGGGTAAACAAGGCGTGGCGAGCCGGGAGCCGAGGCTCGCTTCGTGCTTGCTCTCTCCCTCTCCGTCTCTCTTTTCTTCCAGACTGCTCTGTCTCGGGCTCGGACGCGCTCTGCCTTCTGAAGCTGTTCCTGCTCTTCCTCTGTGCGCCCGGCTGGCATCCCTCCCCGCTTTCCTCTGGCTTTCCTTCGCTCCCCGAGTTGGAGAATGGCGTGGGACGAGGCCTGGCCTCCGGGAGCACCCCGGTCCCTGCGGGCCGTGGCTCTGCCCGGCCCCGGGGGCGGCGGGTGGTCGGTCCGGCGGCGGGACGGCTGGGGGCGGCACCCGGCACGTGCCCCGAGCTGCGGTACCCGGCGGGTGCAGCGGGAGCTCGGAGCGGGGGCAGTGCCCGAGGGTCCCGCACACAGAGCGGGCCGGGGGTCGCTGTGGAGGAGCCGGGCTTGCAGACTTCACGTAAGCAGTCTTAAAGTGTTAGCTTAGCCCTCCTCCAGGCTGTGTGGCCCCGCTACCCTGTGGTTCCTGCCTCTCAGGAAAACCCCTCCTGTAAGACAGGGCTGTCCCTCCTCTGCGTGCACTCCTCGTTGCTACCACGTGCTCTTCCTGGGCCTCGGCACTGAAAAATGGCACAGAGCTCGCCTCTGGCGCTGAGTAGCATGTGCCTATCCAGAATCTGCAGCGAGGTAGCTTCAAATTGTTTCTTTATTTTTGTGGTGTGCTGTCAAAGAAAGGGTTGTTATCGGGGGCTGCTCTTGGCCTTCCTGGTCTCCAGAGGGTGGGCAGCACGCAGGGTGTGAGGGAGGGGCAGAGTGTGCTGCCCTCTTCCACCTCCATCTTTCCCTGTCCACAGGCAAGGCTTGGATTTTGTGTGGAGATATCCTGCCCTCACCACCCACAGGCACCCAGCTGAGCAACCCTGGCTTAAGGAATGGTGTGAGAGGCAGCTGTGCTGGCAGCATGGCTGAGGGGAAAGCTGCCTGATCTCATGCACTGGGCAAAACGGTGCGTGGTGCTGCTGCTGCTTCTGGAAGAGCTTGGAGGACCTTCTGCTGCGTGCTCCTCTCTGCCAGAGCAGGGCCTGGAGTGCGTAAGGAGGAAATGCAACTGCTGCAGAGCACTTCTGCCCGCTGTGCTGCTGGAGCACGTGAGGGGAGGGAGGGACAGGGCGGTCCAGGAAGAGTGCAAGAAGGCAGGGAGCGGAGAGAACATGCTTACATGCACATCATTTAAGGGTTGTTTAACAAGAGTGACGGCAACAAGCCTAAGACTGCAAGGTTGTATTTCTGAGTCTTTGTTACTGCTCCTCCTACTGCTTTTAGCTCCTCTGGTGCTATGTGTGTCCTGGGCTCCTCAGTACCCTCTGACTCCAGCAGGACATTGCCCTTAGCCCATCTGTGTGCATGGGATTGCCCTGCAGCCCCTCTCATGGAGGCTAATGTTCCTGCAGCTGCTTCCGTAAGAATGGTGAGGGATGTGCTGTCCCTAGCTGGTCTCTGGATGCAACTGGGTGTACTTACACAGCTCACGGTGGAGCTGAGGGGACTGCTATCTCTGTTCTCCCTTATCTTAGCAAAAGGCTTATCTTAGCAGAAGGCTGCTGCTCACCTGCCCTTGTTCTGTGCCACAGTTATCTGTGGGTGTGCTGACAGGTTCAGCAGTCCAGGGTAATGCTGCCCAGAAAGGAGATGGGAGGAGGAGTGGCTCTCCCAGCCTGGGCTGCCTCTTGCTCTGACAGCACTCCTGTCTCTCTGGCTGACACTGCTGCTTTCTAGCTCTACTGAAATTGTACTTCTTACAGCATTGCATTGCTCTCTTGATGGCAACAGGCAGCAAGATGTTGTCTGTGGGGTTGTGTGCTACAACACTGCTGTATGTTGTTTCTATTTTCTTTTATTTTTGAGAAACCCGGAGTCATTACAACACTGCATCGGGATATTAATGCTTTTTCTTATGCAGCAGAGGCAGAAATGGAAATGTTCCTTTAGAGGAGTGAAAGGAGCAGTTTCCTAACTATAGCCTTCGCACCAGATGCCTTCCAGCCTTCTCAGTGAAGGTTGCTGAGTGGCAATGCTGATAGCTTTGTGAAGGAGCTGCTTTTCAATATTGCTCTCCATTACTGACAGTGCAATTAGTTTTAACAGCCATTTGCTTTCTGCTTCACTTGTGTAAACACCAGGCTTTTCTTGGCGGAGGAAAAGAGAACATGTTGGTGTTGTCTGATAAATGTGACGTGAGGACAGAACTTCATAGGTTTCCTTTCACAGCAGTATGTTGTTCTTGGGATGTATGTGTGTATATAAGTGTGTGTGTGTGTGTGTGTATATATATATATATATACACACACTGTATATATGTGTGTATATATACACAGTGGTAAAATGTCTTTGCACAGCCATTAGAAATGTTCTAAGCTCTTACTATACTATGCTAAATCTTATCTAGATAATTGACATGCTTAGGAACCATGAGAAGTAAGGAAGCAGTGGCAAGGGTAGGGGAATTTCTTTACGGTTTGTGCTCTTGCCAACATGAATGTCTTGATTGTGGCAACTTCGCAACAGTATGAAACCTTGTGAAAGTTCAAATCTAGTGAAATGCTTCTGTGTTCTTTCTACAGACTTCTCTTATTCTTGGTTCTAATGCAAATGCTTTTTCTTCATGTGGTGCACTCTGACACTTGGCCAATGGCATCCACTGCCATGAAGGATGGGCATGTCTCCTGGTTTAAAACTCGTGGCTCCAGCTGTGTTTGAGCTGGATAGGGTGGAGGCAGTGTTCCTTATGTGGGGAGAAAGGTGGGAATGTTGGAGGTAGCCACAAATCTTCAAGAGAGCTGTTTGCTTTGGGTGCTGCTGACTGTGTAACTACCTGCATTCTCGTTAGCTGCTGGCCTCACAGGTGTACATAGAAATCCATCTGTTGCTGAGTAATGACTGTGGAACTGTTGGTCAGCAAATACCCCCAAAAAAGGATGGTTTAAAAACAAAACTTAATTAAAAAAAAAAATTATCAGGATTGGTTTAAAATATTTTGGATGCTGTCAGTGATCAGTGTGGTGGTGGTGGTGTGCTTTTGTGTAGTATCAGCTCCATGTGTAGTTATATGTAGAAAATGGATAAAGTTGATGTTCTATTGTGACTCCTTGCAAGTAGTATGCAGGTGCTGCTGTGTTGTGGGTGAAGTCTGAATGGGAAAACGATGACATTTTTCGTGTGGGATTAACCCTGGAGATGAGGGCTCTGACATGCTGTTGCTGCTCAGCTGTGCAGGCCTCACAGAGCAGCTGTGCTTTGGTTCCCTCCAGTGCAGGTCACTGCAGTGCAGTGCCTGTAGGCTCGGACATGGGCAGTGAGGGTGCAGTTTCATCGAAATTTGAGATCAAAGGCATTCAGAATAGAAAGCTTCCTTGTTCCTGAAAGGAGATGGACAGGAAGCACAAGTAGCACTTTGAGAATCCGTTTTGTAACTCTAAACTCTGCTGTAACCCCGTTAGGAATCATCTACATTTGGATCCAATCACACGTAAGTACGCTTTGGAGTTTAAATGTTTCTCTTTGTACCTTAAATTACTGTTGCTGCAGAAGCAAAGCTCCTAATGTTTAAGCTGCTTCTGTGGCACCCATGGTCTTTGCTCCCTCCTAGGACTGAGCCTGGGTGAGCAGCACTCTTGGCTTCCACGCATGTGTTCCCAGAGGGACCTTCTCTGAACTATTAGCATCTCTTCTGCTACAGAAACTCAAGGGAGCTCTTTAATAGGAAGAAATATAGAGGCTAAGATAAACGTTCATAGCAGCTTCAGCAAGCCCCAAATAGCTTGTGCATGTTTCCTTTGTGATAACGTCAGGAAGTGGGGTGATTCCCTCTTCTTACTCCTCAATGTTTTTGGTGAATGCTGTGCTTGAATACTGAGATCTGTTGCTGTGAGGAATAGGCAGAGTGGAGCAGACTATTATCCCCCAGAGTATATGGGCTAAGTGGTTTCAGAACATCTGAAAATGGCCTTAAAGTGTGAATAAAGGCTTCTAAGAGCAGTGAGCAGAGAAGCACAGTGAGGGAAAATGGCTTTGCTTGAAGTCTCATAGCAGCAAGTCAGTAATAGTGCTGGGAGAGGATCAGAAATCTCCTGACTAGTGGGCTGGTGCCATTGCAGCTAAAAGATGTCGTATTTAAACAGAAAAGCTTCTTACCCTATGCAGCTGCTTTCAGATTACTCAAGAGAATAGCAACCCCCAAAACATGTATGTGTGTGTATGTACGTACGTGTGTATATATTCAATCTGTCACTTAGAGGGATTTTTATACTAACAGTTAATTACATTTTCTCAGGCAACACTGAGAACATGAGATCTGGAAAAGAATTTGTGAAATAAAGACAAGAGCTGCAAAGGAAATTTTTAGAAAGTGATGTTATTCCCAGTTTTCAGCATAACAATTAATCTCTTATTTTTAAGAGAGAATGAGAGCAGAGAAAGCTGTGTGCCGAATTCAAGTTTGGATCTCTCGTCATTTAAAAAAATAAATCACTTCAAGAAAGATTGTTGGTTTTGTTTTCCTAACGTGGAAGCTGAGGAAGCAGATCGGCATTTTAGAGAGTATGATAGAAGGCGTTAAGCAGTGAGTTAACTGCATCTGTGTTCCA